CATTGTGTTCTTTTTCATTGTTTGTTGTTCTGTTTTATTTCTGTTCTGTTCACACTCTTTTCATTTCTTTCTTTATATTGCTGTAAGCAATATAGTTCCACAGCAAGTAGTTCTACAGTCAGATAGGTAGCAAAAAAAATTAACAAATAATAATAATCTGTGATATTCAAATCTAAGAAAGCTTTCAGTTCTTCTGAAATTCAATAATTCAATATTCAATAATGGGGAAAAATCACAGCTGAAATCAAATCCAGACAATATTCTGGATTGTATTAATGGGTCTGTATTCTCCTTGAATGACATCTGAAGCCCAGGAGTGCTCCTTTCTTTTCCATCTCTTAGATTCTTAGGAGCAACTAAGGTCAAGAATATATTTTCACTGTTATTTAACAATAATTTTTGTGCTGCTTACTCACTAGAAAAAAAAATCAATGTCATACAATCTCTTATACTGCTATCAATTTACGAACTATCCATCCTAAAAGCCCTACAAAAGTGACACACAACACAATTATGTCTTGCATATCAACTGCAATTGTTCTTAATTTGATCACTTTGACATCAGTAGCTCAACTTTTCAGCTTCACTGTTGCAGCATGTTTAATGTAGAGCTTCCAAACAGCTTTTGAAAGTAATCCGAGTTGATGAAAATGTAGCAAATAGGTTGTTATTCAGAATCCCATTATGTCCATATTAAAAGATTTGAATTAGTAGCCCTCTGCTTTCCAGATATATTCAGTGTAGTGTTAACTTTCATAGTTTAAGCAGTCTAGAGTTTGATTATTTAGAGATACATCAATATTTACAGAAGAAACTCTTTTGAAAATGCTTCTGCTTTCAAATTAAGAACCCATATTTCCCAAAATTTTCAAATTTCTTCACAGTTTCTTATATTGGTACTTATATCACATTTCTGAGTATTTAAATTCATTAACCCTTGTGTTAATGAACCAGAGGTGAGAAGGCTGTAACTTTTAAGAAACATATTTAGGTCATGTTATCATATTCTGACTCAACAAGCCAATATGAATTGTTATAGTCTATATGCTACTAAAACTCTTGCATTTGTAACATTTGACTACCTCAAATGAGCTACTTACAGAATGTTGGGACCCATTACTATGGAGGGAATGACATTTGGGAAAGTTGCAACAGCTGTCGCTACAGTGCCATTACCGTGCTGCTGAGGTTACATAATCTTCATTTTCAATGTTTCCAGACATTAGTACAATCCCTTGCTTACTTTCTTCCCCACCTAGCAGCAGCCACATATCTACCTGCTTTGAAGAGAAAGGAAGGAGAGAAGGGAGGAAGGAAAATTGCTGCCATTCAATGACAGCTTCCCACAGTGGGAATTCAATGGAGAAGCCAACAGGAAGACAGAAGTTGCTCCCGCTTCCCCTGATTATTTTGCCTGCCTATGGTTACTCTGTCTGTTTATGTAAGGAAATCTCTGAAAAAGTGATCTAATGGGTTATGTGTTGTCTAGTCTGTAATTAAAATCCAGAAGTATTTGGTTAACAATTTCTCTAATTAGCTAATTTTCTCATTTTGCCTTAACCAATAATTTCCAGCAAGAAAACCAAGTATAGCCTCAAACAACTTAATGCTAAAATGGGAAGAGAAGATGCACTCAGAAAAAATGTGCTCCTTTCTTAGCTTAACTTCCTAAACTACCTCAGAGATTTCAGTGGTGCATATTACATAATCAGAATAACAAGAGCCAAGTCAAGTGTCTGTGTATATTTTTACTTACTTAAAAGTAAATGGCTTGCTTTCATACCTTCCTATAATGGTGTATTCAATCACTGAGACAAACTGATATCATGATGACATTTACTTATATTAGTCTATGAAATTCGTATACTAGAATGTATAATTTATGGAAAAGCTATCAGCCCAATTGCAATGATGGCTTATTCAACCCATTACATGGGTTAATACACTGTGGCTTAATACAGCTTGTAACACCTCACCCCACCCCCATGTTAAGATTAAACGGTTCTTCAAATACGTTTTCTCAGGCTCCAAACAACTTAACTGTATTATGACTTAACATAGTACAATAGGAAATATGTTGGAAGGCACTAAGCTAACTTACAAAAGAGACTTCAGTTACCAAACTATCAATTTAGAGAAAAGCATAGGTGGCATTTCTCAGAACTCATTCATTAATATAAAATTAAATTGAAATTAGTAGTTTACTGATCTAACAGTTATACATTTAAATCAAAGTGTTCTCTTTTTGAGATCATGCTCTCAGGCAAAAAAAGATCTTTCACTTTCCATGAATTGTTTGCCTTCCCTGGTCTATTTTCAAGATTCTTTGATAGGTTTGACAGTGATCGAAAGATGTATTTTCCCTAAAGATTTGAAACCAGAATATAAATTCTGTTGCTAAACAAAGCAAATTAAAATGCATGATTTCTCACAACAGTAATTATCACCTTAATTACTGAGCATATAAAATTCAGAAAGCAATTCTATCCTCTGCCAATTTAGCATTTGTGGCTCCATTAGCTACCACTGAAAGCATATAATGTACAACCTTTGAGATACCTAACTTGGCTCCATGTAAGTACATGTAGAACCACTAACACATTTGTGGATTTAAAATTAGGTGTTCCAATTAAATAGAAGTCGAGCTAATGAAGACTGAATTGACAATTGCTCAGTTAGGTTTATAAGACAGTCATTATCTAGTTCTAACCCCTTTTTTGAATCCCTCGAGTTATATTAAAAACACAGTAAGTTTTCAAAAATATTCTAAAATCATGACATAACCCTTGTGAAAGGCTTTGTTGCACACCTAAAACTAAATTTCATGTGAATGATGGTAAACATAAACATCAGCTGTGAAGCTCAATTAATGGTGCAGGGAAATGACCATTTCTAACATGTATAGGAAATGAAGATACAGGTAGTCCTTGAGTTATGACAGAAATTAGTTCCAAAATGTTCATTCCTAAGCAATGCGGGCTGTAACGTGCAATGTCACATGATTGCATTACTTAGTGAGAACAATCCCTGCATTCTCCATTGCCACTGTTAAGTGTGGATTGTGGGATATTTTTTGAGCACCTCTTTGTAACTTTCTGCCAGCTTCCCACAAGCAAAGTCAGTCCCAAATCCCAAGCGGTTCACAAACAGGCTGATAGCAGGTGATTGCTGCTGGATGTGGAGGGAGGAAGTGAGTGCAAAAGTGACTGGGATGGTGTGACATGAACATGGCAGGGCTTGGAGTGGCTGCTGCTGGAAGTGCAAGTAGCAGAAGCATGGTGCAGGCACAGCAGGGCTTAGAGTGGCTGCTGCCAGTTGGGAAAGATAACAAGGAGATTCGCGGATCACCAGAGAGGTGCAGTGAAAGTGCAGTGGTGCTATTGTAGTATGCGCAAGTGCCTGGGGAAGTGCAGGAAAAGTGAAGAGAGCTTGGAGAAGGTTCGCAGGCAGGAAAGACTTAAGTAACTTGCAAACTCCCCTGCTAGCTTTCCCATTGACTTTGCTTGTGGGAAACTAGCAGGGAAGGTTGGAAATCATGATCACTTGATTGTTGAACATTGCAACCACTGTATTTGTGAGCCTGTTGCCAAGAGTTCACTATGTCACCGGTCACAACCACCACTTGTTCAGCATCATAACTTTGAACTGTTGCTGAACAAGTGGTCGTTAACCAGGGACTACCTTGGAAAGTAGAACAACTAAAGTTAAACTCATGCAGAGCCAAGGAAAGACTCATCATTAAAGTGCATATGAGTTTACAGTATACAAAACAAATGGGAATAAATTTTGCAATATTTTGAGTAAGTTTTAGGATAAGGAAAAGAAATATGTTTAAAAAGAATAAAATCCCTTAGATTTTGATATTACATTCCCTGATTTAACTCTTAATTATATTCCCATATGATTATACACCTGGATCAACTACACATACAAGTTTGCACAATTCAGTAATTTAAGGTTTAAGGTTGTAATGTACAAACATATTTCTATAATCTAAGAAATCCCATTTAGGTGCTAAAACAGGCTGATTATGATAAGGAATGACATTTTAAATAAAATTGCCAACAAAAGCCCACTTTTTTGTATTATGGTTTTCTTCTAAGATTCTTATGTGTTCTGCAAAATTCCAAACATTAAAATGTATGAAGGTATCCAATCAACAATCATCCCATTTAACTCAATGTTGTATTCATGGATGGAGTTTCAGACATCAGTTCTACTAGACTTCATAAAATTGCTAGGGACTGAAGTGAAAGCTTTTATAACACAACATTTACTTATCAATTGACTCTAATCTCATGCAGTGAAAAATTATTCTACACTTTTCCATGAAGCCAATAAAAGATTCAATATTTATTCCTCCAAACTCTAATAAGTAAAAAATGTATTGCTGTAATAAAATATATATCTTAGCAATTAAGAGACTGTCATAATGAAGAGATTATTTAGGGTCATACAGCTGCTTTTTCTGGAATCAGGTGTTTGACTTCCACAGCTGCAGGACACTTCCAGAAAACACACATTTAAGGACTCATGCAATTTAAAGTAGAATTTCCCTTCCTCCCTTATTCTTGTATGGGTAATAGTACCAACACATTAAGCTTCATGGATAACTAACAGCTCCCAATAGCTGATACTCTTACATCTATTCACTCAATTTATAAAATTCAACCATTAAGAAGTAATGTTTCTGCTAGGCCAAGTATTGAAATATGAACTGTAAGCCTCTTTCCTTCAATATATAATGGCCTCTTGGGGAAACATTAAAAATTTGGCTTTTTAAATAATTCCAAGCTACTACTATTATACACAAGCAGAAGTACGGTAATTTAATACAGCTTTTGTGTAAATTCATAACGCACACATGGATTTTCTTTCGTATTCCCCCTCTCCCCCCAAACTAGATCTCAATTGCATCCTTGCCAAGTGAAACAGTTGGAGCAAATAAAGCAACTTTTACATATACACATTATATTTATATAAATATTATATAAAATAACCTTCATGAGAAGGGATGGCTCTACTTCCTTCAAACCTTCTAATTTTCAGTGGGCCAAACTGTGACTAGGGAAAAGGAATCCCAGTCTCTTCATACAGACAGAACAGAACAGAACAGAATGACAAGAGTTGGAGGGAACCTTGGAGGTCTTCTAGTCCAACCCCCTGCTCAGGCAGGAAACCGTACACCACTTCAGACAAATGTTTATCCAATATCTTCTTTAAAATTTCCAATATTGGGAGCATTCACAACTTCTGGAGGCAAGTTGTTCCACTGATTAATTGTTCTAACTGTCAGGAAATTTCTCCTTAGTTCTAAGTTGCTTCTCTTCTTGATTAGTTTCCACCCATTGCTTCTTGTCCTGCCCTCAGGTGCTTTGGGGAATAGCTTGACTCCCTCTTCTTTGTGGCAACCCCTGAGATATTGGAACACTGCTATCGCGTCTCCCCTAGTCCTTCTCTTCATCAGACTAGACATACCCAGTTCCGCTCTTTATGTGTTTGAACCTCCAGTCCCCAGACTGTGGATCTTGCCATCAACAGCAGCTTTAAAGTGTTCAGTGTTATGCCCAAAGCCAACTATGGTGGGTAACGACGAGCAGGGAAACCAGACATCAGCAAAAGGACAAGAGACGGCGAGGAAGCTCCGAAGTCGAAAGCCCGAAAGCTCCATCTCAAGCAAATCCAAGCCCCGTCCCTATCACCTCACTTCCGAAGTGACCTGGTCGAGGAACCGGGGACGACTGGGCGGAAGAGGAGAACCACCGACCCAGGGAACGCCAGACCGCCTCCCACTCCTCCCAAGATGCCCGGGGTGGGGGTGGGGGTGGGGGGGGTTGTCCACGACTGGGCAGCAGCCGGCTGCCCAAAGGAGACCCGTTGCTGGCCGCCACAGCAGCAGCGCCTCCCTTTTGCCTCGCTTCCTTCCTTTATCCTCGAAAGCGATCCCGGCGCCGCCCCCGCCCACTCGTCCGGCCTAGGCGCCGCACCCCTCCCAAGCCTTGGCACCCTTCGAAGGGGCCCCTGCTGCGCACCCTTCCTCCGCCCGGCTTTGGCCAAGCACAAAGCCCCACCGGCGGCACCAACAGACCCCGAGCGCAACATTCACCTACCTGACAAACTGAGCCCCCTCCACCACAATACGCCTGCCACCCGCCCCGCCTATGTCACGGGCGGCCGCCGCAGCGAATCCTCGCTTGCTTCTCCCGCCGCCGACAACCAATCGCTTTCCAAAGCAGGTCACCCGCCGAGAGCCAATCCGCACGCCATCCAGCCCTCTCCGGCGAGAGGAGAGGCAGCTGGAGAGGGTGCGCCAATGAACGGAGGAGAAAGTGGTGGTCTCCAGCTTCAGAGCGGAAAGGCTATTGGCTGAATCGCGTGGGGGGGGGGGGCCAAAGGGGGGGGGGGGGGGGGGGGGGGGGTTTGATTTGATTTCCTCTCCTCGAGTAAGGAGAAATGGGTTTAGATTACAGGGGTCTCCAACCTTGGCAACTTTAAGACCTGTGGACTTCAATTCCCAGAATTCCTCAGCCAGCAAAGCTGGCTGAGGAATTCTGGGAGTTGAAGTCCACAGGTCTTAAAGTTGCCAAGGTTGGAGACCCTTGGTTTAGTAGCACAACGAGGAAAACACTGGTGGGACGTGGGGGCAGATGGACGGATACTGGAATGTATCGGTCTTCCTGCTAGAGCCCTGATGATGTAGGAAACTGGACATTTTGGGTGTAGCTCATCAGTGGATTTTCTTCTAGAGTTTGAGATATACTGAATGAGCCTTATCTGAATTCAGCGGGAGCCCCTTTGTGTCTCAATAAAAATGCGCTGAAGATTTTGGCTTAATCTTTCAAAAAGCCCTCGTAGGTTGGAATGGGTTGTTCTGTTGTTTCAGAGGCATGCAATTGAAAAAGACTATTTCTAAGGTTCGGGTTCCTTTTGATATATTCTTTTTCATTTGGGAAAATCTTTAAAACCCAATTTATTGGGCACAAGTTTGGAGTTCAACAGTATATTAAATAACAGTAGCAGAGTGCTTGTATTTTTAAGCATCTGGAGTTGGGATAAAATGTTCAGACATCAGAGGAAAGGAAGATTGCTTTGTGTCAATGGTTGTTTGAGTTTGACAAACAAATGACTTTCTCATTTTGTCACAAGATTTCAGTTGTCATTACTTTAGAGGGTTTTATTTTTTAGATTCTATGGTTAAAAAATCCTATTTGATTTCTTGCTTAGCTACTCACATTCTTTCTATTCCTTTTTGTTTTTGTGGATGCATCTTTAATACACGTATTAAATTGACAAATTTTAGCTTCCCAGCCAATTAACTTCCTTGAGTTCTTAATATTTTCATTTTAGCCAACTTGCTTCAATTTAAACTTTTAAAATAATTTCTTTGTGTCAAAATCATTGAGTCTAAGTCATCATCACTGGAAATTGATGGTTTACTTTTTAACTCTGGGCATTGTAACAAATGATTTCTCTGAACTAGATGGGACTTTATTTAAAAGTAGACTAGGTATTTGAAATGATAAAATGGGTTTTTTTATTTACCTACCAAGGTCATCCTTTTTACTGACGGCTGGAGATCAAGCAATTGTTTTCCAACCATCATCACCAGCTTATGGAATTGATAAAACCATATATGTAGATGTATATGATGACACATCAACTATTACAGACACGGAAATAAACTCCATCTGTAAACCATTCAAAAAAGAAAATATCCAAAGGGTCAAAGAAAGGGACAGATATCCTTAAATACACGCTTCCTCATCATGGCGAAGGTTGTTGAGAGTGTGGTCGCGCGACAGTTTCCACAATTCCTGGAGGAAACATCTTATCTAGATCCGTTCCAGTTGGGTTTCAGGTCTGGGCACAGCACGGAAACGGCATTGGTCGCGTTGGTTGATGATCTCTGGAGGGCTCGGGACAGGGGTTGCTCCTCTGTTCTGGTCCTGTTAGACCTCTCAGCGGCTTTTGATACCATCGACCATGGTATCATGCTGCACCGGCTGGAAGAGTTGGGGGTGGGAGGCACCGTGTTGTGGTGGTTCTCCTCCTTTCTCTCCGACCGGTCGCAGTTTGTGTTGGCAGGGGGGCAGAGGTCGACCTCGAGGCCTCTCATGTGTGGAGTGCCGCAGGGATCGGTCCTCTCGCACCTTCTGTTCAACATTTATGTGAAGCCACTGGGCGAGATCATCCGTGGCTTCGGGATGAGATACCACCATTACGCTGATGACATCCAGCTGTACATCACCCCAGGCCACCCCAACGATGCCCTTGAAGTGATGTCCCAGTGCCTGGAGGCTGTGCGGATCTGGATGGGGAGGAACAGGCTCAAGCTCAACCCTTCCAAGACTGAGTGGCTGTGGCTCCCGGCATCCCGATATAGTCAGTTGACTCCATCACTGACTATTGGGGGCGAGTCATTGGCCCCCACAGAGAGGGCTCGCAATCTGGGAGTCCTCCTGGATATGCAGCTGTCCTTGGAGGAACATCTGACGGCTGTAACCAGCAGGACCTTTTGTCAGGTTCGCCTGATTCGCCAGTTGCGGCCCTTTCTTGATCGGGATTCCCTATGCACAGTCACTCATGCCCTCGTCACCTCTCGCCTTGACTACTGCAACGCTCTCTATATGGGGCTCCCCTTGAAGAGCACCCGGAGGCTCCAACTGGTCCAGAACGCAGCAGCGCGGGTAGTGACGGGAGCAGCATGGCACTCCCATGTAACACCACTCCTGCGTGAGCTGCACTGGCTCCCAGTGGTCTTCCGGGTGCGCTTCAAGGTGTTGGTCATCACCTTTAAAGCACTCCATGGCATAGGGCCTAGCTATCTCCGAGACCGCCTGCTGCTACCGACGACCTCCCATCGACCTGTGCGCTCCCACAGAGAGGGCCTCCTCGGGGTGCCATCAGCCAAACAGTGTAGGCTGGTGACCCCCAGGGGGAGGGCCTTCTCAGTTGCCTCCAGAGATAAGGAGAATCCAAGATCTCAGTGCCTTCCGCCGTGCCCTTAAAACCCATTTTTTCCAGCAAGCCGGGCTGGCTTAAGAAGAAATTTTAAATGTTTTAATTGGTAGTGATTTTTAATTTTGGGGCCAAATTTATAGATATTTTAATTGTTTTTTAATATTTGTATTGCATGTTTTTAATTCTGGCTGTACACCGCCCTGAGTCCTCAGGGAGAAGGGCGGTATAGAAATTGGAAATAAAAAAAAAAAATCATACACATATTAACCAACATAACATTCAGATAAGTAGGAACCAGCATCACATCAATAGGAACAGTAAAACAATAAAAATACCACATTTAGAAATAATCAAACAATACAGGTAGTTCTTAACTTACAACAGTTCATTTAGTGACCATTCAAAGTTACAATAGAACTGAAAAAAGTAACATGACCATTTTTCACATTTATGATTGTTGCAGAATCCCTGTAGTCACATGATCAAAATTTAGATGCTTGGCAACTAAGTCTTATTTATGACAGTTGCAGTGTCCCAGGGTCATGTGATCACCTTTGCAACCTAACAAGCAAAGTCAATGGGGAAACCAGATTCACCTAACAACCATGTAACTGACTTAACAACTGCAGTGGTTCACTTAACCATTGTGGCAAGAAAGGTTATAAAATGGAGTAAAACTCACTTAACAAATGTTTCATTTAGCAACAGAAATTTTGGACTCAATTGTGGTCATAAGTCAAGGACTACCTGTACATCAATTAAGTCAAGAAGGACAATAAATAGGCAGCCAGAAAACTTTACTTCGCCATGCATTGAAGATATTACCCTACAGCAAACTTGAAGAACACCAAGAAGCCAGCTGGATATGATATTTTCAAGTTGTAGTACCCCTTCAAAAACCTAGAAAAACAACTTAATTAAAGATGAGAGCTGCACAAATTTGTAAACCTCAGATAACTATGATTGAAAGTTCTTCATCATTTTAAAACTATTTTTTTAAAGACTACATTATCTGCTACTCCATCTGCCTTGTGATTGAGACTATTTGGTATCTATAAATTACCAGTTTCATTATTCTGTCATCTTGTAAAAAAAAAATTCCGGTACTTTCGTGAGAATACTGACAATTCTAATATCCTGCCCATTTTATTTAATGCTTCCCCAAAACAATTTCCATAAAGAGAGGACTTTGAAAAACCAGCTGAAGACTATAATGTAAATATCTATTTATTGAGTTTTCCTGCTCAGAATAATCAAGGAATTAAGATAAATTTTGTTTCTCCAAATCTTACTGCTACCTTCTCTTTGTGTTCATTGTTCAATATGTGCTTCACCACTCTCCTTCAGTTTTTATTTCCCCCCCCACCCCGCTTTGTTATGTTAATTTCCCAGGTCCACCTTGTCTTATCAGTCAGGTAGAATTAATCCTCTTGCTTGGAAAAAGCTGAAAAGATCACTACTTTACATTCCATTATTCGAAAGAAAAAAACCCTTGCTATGAGAATAATGTGAACTTTTAAAGACAATTATATGCCTGAAAGTTGAATATAAATATAAGATGGGGAATACCTCATTGTCACTTCTGCAAGATAGTAAAGCAAATATTAAATTCCACCATAATATAATCACATGGATATATTAAAGATACACATGGCAGTAACTCAAAAAATATTAATAAAAAAATGATTCTTTTAAGAATGAACCATAAAAAGCTTATTAATAGCAATACATATAATTCCCAAAATAGCAAAAAGAGGAATCTTTAGAGTGCTTAGTTAAGGGATATCAAACTTTGTCACTCCTTACACATCTGAGCCAGTATATTATTAGAATATATGTTTCTAGTATGAAGATAAGAATTTTGGTTCATACCTACCGGCAAGGTACACAAAATGTGTCTATCCAAAATAAGAGCAAACTTGAAATAGGTACATAACATCTAAGAATCTGATCATCTGCTTTTCAGATTCCAACCACAAATGCATGATAAGAAGGTGAGAAGGTATTTCTTCTGGTTCAGATAAAGGGAAGGAGTGTGTGGATTACATATGTTGTGTGCAGAA